ATCGGCATATGGCAATGGTTGACACATTGCCCATCCGTACAAATTATTTACATCAAAATACATGAGGTACGATGAGGGTTTCGATGGATCGTACGATTGCATGTACTTGTTATTTGCCTGTGCGTATCGACTTGAACATTGACTAAGGCCGCCGCGTATACCTCGTTCGACAAACATTACCATGTCAATGTCTGTTAATAATTCAAATTTTATATTTGTATGTTTTAACATGGCGTCCCATGTATATCCGGGGAGAGTATAATAATACGCGGGATCGAGTCCATAACTTTTTATACAACTGTCGCGAAAATTTTCAAATATGTCTGCCAATAACAAGACATCAATTTTTAAATATAAATCGCTATATTCGCCTAGCGTTCGAAGGGAAAATCGGCTCCAGACGGTCTCGGCGTGCGCGTAATCACTCTCGGATACTGTGTCGCCGGTCAGGGAACTGTAAAATGAGTCGCGCGGCGGTAAACGTGTGTCTTGTAATCTGTCCACGCAGTCAATGTATTCGTACGGAAAGACACCCTTTCGTGTCAATAAATTGAATTTTTCACTAGTTAAATTTTGATATTCCGAATGTAAAATTTTTAGTTTTCTTTATCCAAAAATGACGCTAATTTGTCAAGACTAGCACTGAGAAACTTATACGAATCGATAAAGCGTAATTTGATATAATTTTTTGCATTTTTGTCTTGTGTCAATCTAACAGTCTTCGAGAATGATATATATTTTTCCTTTGTTATCGGCAATAATTCGATTTCCCCTTCGAACGCTGTGGCTATGTCCTCGATAATGAAATGCGCGTCGTAGCCGGACAGATTGTGAAAGACTATAGGAATACAAAATGATTCTTTGTAATTTAAGTTACAATTTGAGTGCGCGGGGCCTCTGTACCGCCCGGTGAGGTGGCAATGATCGCGGACGCGTGTATCGTCTTCGTCAAACGGTTTCTCACAAATGTGACAATGCGTCGCGGTGCGAAATTTTAACCACTCGTCAGGCGTTAAATTTACCATGGGGACATTGGTCGTTAAAATATTTTTTACGCGGATTGCTAAATTTTTAAGCTGTTCGGCGAACCACGCGACGCAATCGACACTACGGCGGGAATTGTATGTGGACAACGAACTGTCGTACGAACACTGTACGTAATACGCGATGCTGAATACTTGATGGTGTTGATAATTTTTGGCATCTTCGGTCTTTGCCAAAACACACTCGAGATCGGCGTACACTACAAACGGCAGCCGCTCCTTCCTCGTGTAATTGTCGAAGCTGAGCCACTTGTCCTTGTCGCTCGGCAACCGGATAGCACAGTCGTTCAATTTCCCGCAATCTTCCGTATGCGCTTGCAATTTATCCGCCGCTCCGAAATAGTGTAAACATCTGTAAAAAATAAAAAATTTAATTAGAAATATTTTAAATATAATTTAAGTTTAATAAATATATACTTACCGATCGCAGATAAATTTTTTATGAGCTTTTTTGCTCAGTTGCGAGCTCACGAGACGAGACAGATTTTTTATCAAAACAAAATGTCCGACGCTGTTTTCGTCTTCCACGTACAGCAGATTGACGTGTCTGTCTTTCTTTTTTTCCGAAAGACGTAGCGGGACGATGTTCTCGTTCTCGATGATGTATACGTTTACGGAGATGTCGTTTGCAAGTTCGAATTTTTTAATTTGATTCACAGTCACTGGAAACTCAATGTTTTGGAGATTCAGCACTGTGGTGTAATGCGGATAGGAGGATTCTCGTTCCATATGTCTTTCAGCGGGGTACAGAGCGGCTACCACTGACCATGCGAAACACGCATTGTCCGCTGATCGCACATTAACAACCGCTCTTTTTACCATAATTTTTTGCGGTAATTTGACATGGCATCCAGCGCGCATTGGATTATACTTGTTGATATTCACAGTCAAATCTATTATCCGCGACAATGCCCAGCCGCTACCGCGTTCCTGGAACTCTTCTAGCGATGCTAGAGTGGGCTCGATTACGCGGCGCTCGTACCACTCGCGTACATCGGACGTGCGAAAGAGTTCAAAGTTTCTCGTATTGATACTTTTATTGGCACGCTTGTCACCGAACACAAATTCGCCGTTGAAAACGGTGTTCACTTTTACACTAATGTGTCTCTGCAGCACATTCTCCACGTTCTCGACTACAATGTCTTTGGCATTTTCCAAAAACTGACGCGGTTCGATATAGTCTGCGTTAATTACCGCACCGGTAAGTATACGGCTATCGAACGCTGTATCGATCTCGCGCCAAACGAGTCTTTGCGCGTTATTGCCGCCACCACTAAATCCGCCACCGCCGCTGAATCCAGGCATGGATTCACCGACATACTGCCTCTGTAGACGCACCTTCGCACCCTCGAGTCGCGCTATTCTCGCCACGAGAGATTGCCTATGTCCAATCGAGAGACGCGGACGCTTGGCACGGCTGCGTTCTTCCAGCTCTTCGATAAATTCTTCGCACTCTTGCAGCCATCCGAAATATTCGCCCAAGTTAGCGACTTGGTGGAAACGCTCCAACAGGTCGCGCTCAATGTTCTCCATTTTTGTAAAAAATTTACTTGTACTGCACAGAAATAACTACTTTAATTGCACACTAAACTTTTTTTCTCACAGCTATTTTTCCTTGAGGAAAGCGTGCGCTCGCCAGTGGTACTATGGCCCGGCAGCGGCATCGGTCCTCGTTATATATCCCAATCAACCCTTTGTTCGTCAACGTACGAACGAGAAAAATTTAGATGACGTAAATTTTCGGCGCTTGTTTTGTTTATAAATTCCTGCAGCCGCTGGTTATCGGCGCTGGTATTTCTTCCTAAGATAAACAATAAAGAACCGCCGCTTATTGGGGAGGTACCGCGAGGGTGATATACAATCCCATGCAAAAACATGTCGCAGGCCGCAAGCGATGAGGTTGCAGGCAGCAACTTGTTCGCCCTGAAACTTTACCCGCTGATATTTCTTAGAAATATACGTATAGATCATGTATCAACCCCCTTGATTGTCGGCGTATGCCAAGCGGTGACCCTTCTTAAAATTTGATTATCTTAGATTTTCAGAGAACTGATTGTCGGCGCATGCCAAGCGGTGGCCCTTCTTAAAATTTGATTATATTTCTTAGAAATATACAGATAACGTATGAGGAGAAGAAACGCAACCCCCCCCCCCTTCCCCTGATTGTCGGCAGCCCTTTGTAATAGATATTGATGGAATGTTTATCTTTTGTTTATAAACATAAACGTATGAGGAGAAGAAACGCAACCACCCCCCCTGATTGTCGGCAGCCCTTTGTAATAGATATTGATGGAATGTTTATCTTTTGTTTATAAACATAAACGTATGAGGAGAAGAAACGCAACCCCCTTTCCCTGATTGTCGGCAACCCTTTGTAATAGATATTGTTTATCTTTTGTTTATAAACATAGATAAGCTTATCTGCTGATAAGACCCCCCGCCCGCGTGACGTCATACCCCCTCGCCCCCAAAAACCCCCCCGCCCCGCACTCCCCTCAGAGGACCCGGGTTAGAACCGGCCTAGTATAACTACTTATTTTTATTTGTTATTATTTATATTATTTTGAAGTGAATGGGATGAAATTGGTACGACTAATATTACGAATATATATATTTAAGAAAAAAATTCTATTCATATAAGTCTATGGCTAGCACCGAGATAACACGGACACGGGCGCTTGCCGTAGGCTGCGTTCGGGGAGACGCTATTAGCGCTGATAGCATCATTTTATCTTTGTCACTCACTAAAAGTTAAATGAAGATAGACCGACGCTGTTTAGCGTCTCCGAAAGCATTCGTAGTATGCGCTGGCATCGGCGCTGGCGCTGACGCTGACGCAGGCGCCGGCGCCAGCGCGGTCGCGCCATTTCTTCTAGCAGTGTGTTGTTCATCTTCCGATCTCGTGTTCACTTGTTTTTACGAATACATGGTGGACGGTTCGTACAGATTTTGTAAGTGATCAACGATATTATTTGTGCATAGTGGAGAGTGGAGAAGAAAAAACTTGGCTATTATTATAATAGCTTATTCACGTTGAATTGAGGTAAGTCATTGTGAAAAAAATACGTATTTTCTCTTACTATGTTTACGTTCCACAACTCAACAAAGAAAATTTTATGCAATAATATACGTTACTCTCTCTTGCATTGCATTGAAAAAAATTATCTTGGAGAGTACGTTTTGGAACGTAACTCCAAACAATACATATAATTATCTATTATATTATACATGTATAAAAATATTTTTGTGGTATATTAAATGCGTAACTCTAATCGAAAACCGTGGAAATATTTTATGCCACGTGTTATGCATGTCTTCAAGACGTATTAAAGACGGCTCTAATACGTCTGTAAGACATGCATAACACGTGGCAAATATTTTCACGGTTTTCGATTAGAGTTACGCATGTTGTGTGGATTGGTATTATGGAAGAAATGCGTTTTTATGGATCAGTCAATCGCTAAATTAATTAATTTTTGTGCGGCCGACGAAAATCCAGTTTTTTTATTTATTTAATTATATTATTCTTTTATAGGAATAATCCTCGTGCCACGTGTCTACATAACCTTTATTTTAACCGCGGAATATTGGATATTTCCCGGTTTAATACGACGATTAGTGAGAAAGAGGATAAATATAAAAAGTCTCTGCTCATCAATATCAGCGATAGTTATATAGAAAATCGAGGTATGTACAATTAACAAAAACTTAAAACTATTTTCTATCTTCACACTATATACAGAGAAAAATTACACTATTTGCCAAGAAATGTGATTACTCAGTTTATGGGCCAATCAATCGCTAAATTAATTAATTTTTGTACGGCTGACGAAAATCCAGTTTTTTTATTTATTTAATTATATTATTCTTTTATAGGAATAATCCTCATACCACGTGTCTACATAACCTTTATTTTAACCGCGGAATATTGGATTTTTTCCGGTTTAATACGACGATTAGTGAGAAAAAGGATAAATACAAAAAGTCTCTGCTCATCAATATCAGCGATAGTTATATAGAAAATCGAGGTATGTACAATTAAAGAAAACTTAAATCTATTTTCTATCTTCACACTATATACAGAGAAAAATTACACTATTTGCCAAGAAATGTGATTACTCAGTTTAATATCATTCTTATAAATAATTCTTTTAAATAATAGTTTTCTTTAACTCTTTATTAGCAATATTTGTCCTTTATTATCAATTTTTTCCAATTTTCCTTAACGTTATTAGCTAACCTTAGCATAAAAGTATATAAAAAATAGCAAAAAACAAATTAATAAATATTATAATAAATAAAAAATAGAAGTATAAATTTAACATATATAAGATAGGCAATAAGAGCCAAATCGCGGATGACAGTGCGTTATTCTAAACGAAACTAAATTTTTTCGTTAGAATTAAATACCTGTGCACAAGGCACCAAATTTTTACTTGGACACGGCCAAGATATAAAATTGGAATAATCTCTACAAGAGATTTTTAATTCCATGTATCCCCTATTCCCCCTAAAGAAATAAAGTGCGAGAGAAAAATATAGATCCGAAAGTCGCAGAATCGGCAATCGAACCCGAGACCTTTCGCTTGCCGGGCGACTGCTCTTCCAACTGAGCTATTCAGATCCTTTCGATTCTATACTTTTCTCTGTTATATATATTAATGTTGGTAAATAAACGCCTTTAAGCCAGCGTGTATAAATTAAGAGTTTAACTAGGCTCTGTAATATATAAATATAAATTTAACATATATAAGATAGGCAATAAGAGCCAAATCGCGGATGACAGTGCGTTATTCTAAACGAAACTAAATTTTTTCGTTAGAATTAAATACCTGTGCACAAGGCACCAAATTTTTACTTGGACACGGCCAAGATATAAAATTGGAATAATCTCTACAAGAGATTTTTAATTCCATGTATCCCCTATTCCCCCTAAAGAAATAAAGTGCGAGAGAAAAATATAGATCCGAAAGTCGCAGAATCGGGAATCGAACCCGAGACCTTTCGCTTGCCGGGCGACTGCTCTTCCAACTGAGCTATTCAGATCCTTTCGATTCTATACTTTTCTCTGTTATATATATTAATGTTGGTAAATAAACGCCTTTAAGCCAGCGTGTATAAATTAAGAGTTTAACTAGGCTCTGTAATATATAAATATAAATTTAACATATATAAGATAGGCAATAAGAGCCAAATCGCGGATGACAGTGCGTTATTCTAAACGAAACTAAATTTTTTCGTTAGAATTAAATACCTGTGCACAAGGCACCAAATTTTTACTTGGACACGGCCAAGATATAAAATTGGAATAATCTCTACAAGAGATTTTTAATTCCATGTATCCCCTATTCCCCCTAAAGAAATAAAGTGCGAGAGAAAAATATAGATCCGAAAGTCGCAGAATCGGGAATCGAACCCGAGACCTTTCGCTTGCCGGGCGACTGCTCTTCCAACTGAGCTATTCAGATCCTTTCGATTCTATACTTTTCTCTGTTATATATATTAATGTTGGTAAATAAACGCCTTTAAGCCAGCGTGTATAAATTAAGAGTTTAACTAGGCTCTGTAATATATAAATATAAATTTAGAATAGCTCAGTTGGAAGAGCAGTCGCCCGGCAAGCGAAAGGTTCGATTCCCGATTCTGCGACTTTCGGATCTATATTTTTCTCTCGCACTTTATTTCTTTAGGGGGAATAGGGGATACATGGAATTAAAAATCTCTTGTAGAGATTATTCCAATTTTATATCTTGGCCGTGTCCAAGTAAAAATTTGGTGCCTTGTGCACAGGTATTTAATTCTAACGAAAAAATTTAGTTTCGTTTAGAATAACGCACTGTCATCCGCGATTTGGCTCTTATTGCCTATCTTATATATGTTAAATTTATATTTATATATTACAGAGCCTAGTTAAACTCTTAAAAAATAGAAGTATTAGTAATATGGAATAGTATATTAAAATAATTACTTATTTGTACATTGCGTTTAACAGAGGGTTAACAAAAATTTAATCTTGACAATAGCTTTAAAATTGTTACAAATAGAAATTTTTATTATCACTTTAAAGAATTTATTTTCTTTTCAAAAATAATAAAAAAAATTGTATAAAAAAAATCAAATTTACTTAACGTACTAAGACATCCAAATATTTTTGTTTCAATTTAATATTTTTGATAAAAATATTACGCTTAATAGAATTCAGAATATATTATGAATTTTAATGCTTGTGATGAATTTGTGATATACTTGTGGATATAAAAACTTATGATATATTTGAAACAAGTAATATTTATTTGAATATTGTTCTCTGTATTATATTATGATTTTTGTATAATTGCCTGTTTTCTAATATGCGTATATGTATATATTATTTTGCTTTCAAATATATGTATATATTATTTATTTTTATGAAAATTCACACAGTATGCATATCCAAAAGATGTTCAGAAAATCCCAAAGATATATGTGAGCCACATAAAATCTTTGAAAGGTCCTTTAAATGTCTTTTAAATACGCACATTATATGACAAAGACTCATTAAAATTGCAAAAATTTTAAACTATTTTTAAAAACAAAACAAATCTTGTTAATATATATTACAACACGGAAAATATTTTATAATAAAAATTATTATGGTGTGCAGTAGTTGGGGACCATCAGGACTATTTTTAAAGTAAAGTTTTTAAAACTAAAAATTACCTTAATTTATGCAATTTTTACAGCTTTACATAGCCCTTAAAAAATAATCTTGATGATTTTTGCAGCTACATATATCATAGCAGTTTTTACTAAGAAATTTTTTTCATGTATATATGAAATATTCTATGTCAAGTGAAACACACACACACATTTCTATGCATGTTGTGTGGGTTGGTATTATAAATGAAATACATTTTTATGGGCCAGTTAATCATTGAATTAATTAATTTTTGTACGGCTAACAAAAATCCAATTACTTTATTTGTTTAATTACATTGATTTTTTATAGGAAATATTCTCGTGCCCCGTGTGTGCATAACCTTGACCTTAACAGATCGCGGAATATTGAAGTTTTCCCGGTTTAATACGACGATTAGTGAGAAAGAGGATATATATAAGAGTGTCTCTGCTCATCGATATCAACGATTGTTATACAGAAAATCGAGGTATGTTTAATTAAGAAAAAATTTTTAAATTATGTACACGTTTGTCAAAAAAAATGCTTATTAAAAATATATGAAAGAGTTATTTGACTCAAATATGACATAGAGTTTATAGATAATTTAAAAAATTGATTTTTTTTATGTTTGTATATTTTTGTATTCCAATTTGACATAGAATGTCAAATAATGTATCATATACTATTAATATACAATGTAATTTGTGAAAAACTTATTATTGATAAATTCTTGAGATCATTTGGAGACAACTTTTTCTCAGCGAAAAGAAATGTCGAGATATTAATTTCAGATTCATAAGCGAAGAAAGGTGTTTTTCGCAAAGGTAACTTTTTGGACTCAAAATATTATCAAAACTATATTTTTTCATTAATTTTAAATAGAGTTTACTATATAATTTAAAGCTTAATTACAAACATATTTGATGACAAAATTGGAAATTTATAAAAAATGATGATGTCGCTCGACATTTTCGTTGAAGAAAAATCGTTTCCGAATGATTTCAAGAATCTGCCATTAACAGGTTTTTCATCAATTAAAAGACACCCTGTATATTAACAAGGCTATTTCTTTTTATAAAAATAGGTTAAAATCTTGTAATATTAATGGAAATTATCTTTTTCTCATACAACATATGTATCTAAAAGATATTCTGAAGGTATATATATATATACACGATAAACTTCTGACTTCTAAACTAGTTAACTTATTTTTTTAAGTTATAACAATTTTAATTTTTGCAACGTGTCGCATATTAAGCATTATGCACATCAAAAAGATGGTTAGAAGACATCTCGAAGAGTTCTTGGGATGATAGGACTCGAAACGTTTTCCGAACATCTCCAGATGTATATACATGCTGTTTGATATTAAAATTGTTTACATAAAATTTGTTACGCATGTTTTCTATAAATATTTTTGAAGTCTATATATTCTGTATATTTATATTTGAGTCAAATCTGAAATAAGCATAACTTTTAATAATCATCTTTTACGCTTGTCTGTAATTTTTTTATTGATGTGTGTATATGTAGTATGTATGTATGTATGTATGTATGTATATATATGTATATATATATATATATATATGTGTGTGTGTCTGTGTGTGTGTGTATACAGATTTTCCATAAAGTCTCGCCTTACCTCTATTTCGGAAACGGCTCAAAATTTGGAAAAATTACAAAACATGTGTTCGATTGTTTCAAGGGACTACTTTTTTAAGGAGGTCGGAGAAGTCGCTAAGTTCGTGTTAAAAACTATATTTTTAAAATCTTACAAAAAATAATGATATCTAAAAATTGCGTTACATAAAAATAAAAATTTATAAATATATTAATAAAATTAAACAACAATTTAACAATTGTAATTGTTGTATTAAACTAAACAACAATTTAAGTTTTAATTGTAATTTTAATTGAAATTTAGCAAGTGCTAAATTTTTTAAATAAATCTTTTAATTGTTTTGTCGCAAGTTTTAATATCATTAAGTTTTAATATTGTAATTTTTTAAATATTATTATTTTTGTAGGAAATTAAAACAACTATTTTGTGCAACATTTTTAAATTAAAATATTTTTATAAATATTTATTTTTGCTTAGTGCAATTTTTAGATATTACTTTTTGTAAGATTTTAAAGATATAGTTTTTAACGCAAATTTAACACCTTTTTTACTTTTTGACTTTTTTTAAAAATAGTATTTTTTAAGAGTTTTCTTTACACTAACTGATTTTTTTTATTATTCTGAAAAAAAATATTAAGATAAGATTATCGAAAAATAAATATTTTACAAGATATTTTATATTTATGTCAAAATACTGCAACTTTCAAGCTTTATAATTCAAAATATTTTTAATAAAAAAATAATTTATTATAGTATTTTCAAAAGCTTTTAAGACAAGCTATAAAAATATGCAATAAAAAATAGAGGGTCCCATTTAAAATTTTAAAGTTAGGGAACTAATCTCCTTTGTACTCCTTGGAGAGCCCCTTTGAGCGACTTCTCCAATCTCCTTAAAAAAGTAGCCTTTAAAATGATCGAACACGTGTTTTGTGATTTTTCTAAATTTTGAGCCGTTTCCTTTCTTACTTTTATATATATATATATATATACGTGCGAATTGTCACACTCGGCTTCGCCTCGTGCGCCAAACTTTCGCACTCTCGGCCGATTCACGATCCGCACATTAGTAAGAAATTTCAATAAATAGAAATCGATCGAACACGAAATACCCATGTGTGTATCGAAAAGGTTAAAAATATGTTACAATTCTTGAAAAGGAAAATGCTTTTTTTTATCGAACAGTGTAATTTGACTTAGTTACATTTGTAAAAAATAAAATATTTCCTACAGATGGAATCACGTAAACGAAAAAGTGATTTTGAAATTTGTAACCGACAACGACGTCGGCGTGCCGTTGAAATCTTTCGATAGTGGGAAGATAAATTTGAATCCATTAATGAATCCATTGAACCCACTAATGCATCTATTAATCCATCGATTGAATCTACTGATTTATCGACTGAACTTGCGAATACACCAACAGATTTGCTTCTTACGCAAAATTTGGTTTTCAACTCATTACCAGAAAACATTGAAATAAATGCAAATAATTCGCCTGATACTAAAACCTCGTCCGATGAAGGCTATATTTTTACGCAAGATAAAAATAATTTTTTTTAATGGACACTTATCCAAGCAGCGACGACAATATTGATATTGATCGAAACGTAACTTCCATTGTTGAAGTTCCTGTGATAGATGAAGCATCGGTGGACAGTTCTCAGAATATGGATTATATGAAAGCAAAACTGGGAGAATGGGTTGTTACTGAAAAAATTTCGCATAACAGCTTGAAAAAATTGCTTACCGTATTAAAATCAGTCCCAAGCTTATCCACAGTATTACCATGCGACTCTCGTATTTTATTGCAGACTGCAAAACAGACCGATATTCGAGAGGTCTTTCCTGGAGAGTATCACCATTTTGGGCTTGCTTCGAGTATTCGGGACTCTTGTAATAGAATTGAAAATTTCACTATTGACGAAATAGCTATTGCTATAAACATTGATGGAGTCCCCTTGTTTAATTCTTCTACGGCAGCGCTTTGGCCTATTTTGGGAAATATTATACCCTACAAAGAAGTTTTTATGATTGGAGTATATTACGGACACCAAAAACCTCAAGATGCTAACATTTATTTAGACCAATTTGTTCAAGAAGCTAATGAGTTATGCAAAAATGGCATTATTATTGGAGAAAAACTGTACAAATTTTCGATTCGATTTATCATTTGCGATGCTCCTGCAAAATCGTTTATTTTATGCGTAAAAGGTTTTTCCGGATTTAATAGTTGTACGAAATGTATAACAAAAGGAAAAACAAAAAAAAATTGCAGGTGTTTTCCCAAATTAAATGCCGAAAGACGAACAGATCGAGATTTTTTAGACTATCGTGATAAGAAATATCACGAAAAGAGAAAGATTCTCGATTCTATACCAGGACTGGGATTGGTATCTAATGTAACTTTAGATTACATGCATCTAATACTGTTAGGCGTCGTTAAAAAAATGATAACATTATGGATTCACGGCGAAAATACCTATAGACTCGGTCGTCTACAAATTCTTAAAATCTCGAAACGACTTGAAAGTGATATGAAACCATTTGTTTCAAAAGAATTCGGTCGAAGACCTCAAAGCTTGGAGTTTTTAAAGCTACGGAAAGCTACTGAATTTCGGCAATTCCTTCTTTATACGGGGCCAATTGTTTTAAGAAAGATCTTGCCAAAGGCAATGTACAATCACTTTATGACGCTTCATGTTTTAATCAGAATATTATGTGACGTGGAACGGCATCAGAATAAACTGAACTACGCAGAAAGTCTTGCTAAACATTTTATCAAGTCATTCGCTAAAATATACGGCGTGCATCATGTAACGCACAACGTTCATGGCATTATTCACCTCGTAGAAGATGCAAAGTTACATGGATCTATAGAGAAGTTTAGTGCATTTAAATTTGAGAATTTCATGCAGATACTGAAAAATATGATACGTAAACCAGAGAAACCACTGCAGCAAATAGCTCGGCGCTATAGAGAAATAAAAAGTGCATGTTTGAATTACAATAAAAGCACAAACGATGATTTAGAACTTGTTACAACTTCTCTTCATGTCAAAGGTCCTCTGCCTGAGAATTGCATTAATCCACAGTATAAAGTTATAAAATCATCAAATTTCACTATCAAGACTACTGGAAATGCTGATAATTGCTGCATTCTGAAAAATGGTGACATATTTGAGATTCAAAATATAGCTTCCTGTCGTGAAACCCAAGAATTGATGATAATAGGCCGACAGCTTATTTCTAAGGAAGATTTTTTCAAGATTCCATGCTCATCATCATTGCTGGATATATATAAAGTTCAATATACACGCAGCGAGACATTATCTATATGACCACTCAGTGATGTTGTCAACAAATATGTAAAACTCCCACACAAATCAGGATTTGTCGTTTTCCCATTTTTACATACTGATAATTAAATTTTAAATACTGACTTATAAGCCAGTGCTGGGATTTACTTGCACATTTTGGCCAGATCTTGTGATTTACACCTACTGCTTCTTACTCATCGCTCGCACGATATTGAGTCGGCGATAAGAAGACGTCTTCTTACATACGGACGTTCATGAAACGAAGTGTCACGTTTCTTACCCAGATAGCCACAGTAATTATTATGACATCATTTTGATATCATAATAACTACTGTGGCTATCTGGGTAGTTACGCGTTGTAAACGGAGGAAATTGCAGTTTTAATTGCGCGATTAGGTATGATGTACCGTATACACAGTTATTAACCACATCGTTCATCTTAATATTTATTTTAGAATTAATATTCATTTTAAGTTTATTAAATTTTAAGCTTATCAAGATGACATCTGATCGATATGCAGTCATTGAATTTGACGATGGCGTCAGTCTTGCTCCTGAAAAATGGTTAACACCTCGCAAAACTCATTGTTATTGGCCTCCGTATAAAAGTAAATCAAGACAATTAAGAGCTGTTGAGGACAAAGAAAATACGGCCGAAAATTGGAGTTTGTACAATATAAAAAAAATATTGACTACGACAAGTACGATAATTTCTTATATTTTTCAAAATTCTACGCGTCAATGCATTTGCAAAAAAATTATAAATATTAATCTTAATTATTGTTATTTTTTTAGAAACTTTTAAACGTGGACAAGAAAAGTGTAAACAGGCTTTAATAATGTCAGATATCAATACTGATTCTGACATTGAAAAAAATAAATTTAATAAAAAATCATCTGCAGTTATTGATCCTTTTCCGCCGATTAACTTTGACGACGCAGGTTCCAGCGGTAATAATAGTGAGACCGAAAAATCTGATTCAAATACATCAAATGCTCAGACAAAAGCAAAAAGAAAAAATCGAGATTTATCCGTAAATGACCAGCCTATTACTGACGATTTGTCATTAACTCAACAGTCAAGTTTGACGCATGATCGTAAGAAACAAACAAATCTACTAAAACAAAACATTTGTAATTATATCCTTTTTTCTAAACTATATTTTTATTGTTTTTATAGATGAGAATTGTAGCAGAACAGTTTTACGAGCAATGGCTAACATTGATTTGAAGATAGACACATTAATTGCTGAAATGCGTAATGTAACAAAATTGATGACGACAAAAACGACGGACAAAGAAATCGAAAATACTGAAAGTCAAACTTTGAAGGCCTATCCTAGTATATTAACGGAAGATGATTTAATAAAAGAAGAACGACGTTTATCGACTGACATACTTCATAAAAACAACTTAGTAAGTATATATATTTGTGTTGTGCATACTTTATTTTGTTAACATCACAAAAGTCTTGTATCATTTAGTTGAGCTCAGGATTAGGTAGGTTAATTAATTTTGTTAACTAAGTTAAGTTGAAAATTAATAGACCATAAATTAAATATGTTAACGTTAAAAGTCGAAACAAGAACTAACTCAGTTAAAAGTTAAGTTAAAAAATTAAAAATTAAAGTTAAAAAAGTTAACCTTAATTATATAAAATTATCTTTTTTGCATAATTATGTATTTAATTGGTACTTTTATTTAAAATATAATAAAAAATAGTTTTTTATAATTTATAAAAAAAGAAATAATTTTTACAAATATGAAACAGGCGTTTCCGAGCCATACGCGGTTAGTGGTGCGTTAGTCTTGTAGAAATTTAAGATTTTTACGAGACTTAAATTACGTGCACAGAGGCACAAATATTACTTAGTTAATACCAAGATTTTTAAACGCGGTTCGTGATCTCATTACTTGTGAGATAAACACGATTAAACGAACGCGGAACCCTCTTTACCCCCCTATGAATTGATAGACGAGCCAAGAATTTATTTATTTAATTTGTGAAATAATTTTTCTTTATTTTTCTATATTAATTGGCAAATTATATTATTAATTATTAAAATATATTATTAAATATATATAAAAAATTAAAATATTTATAATTTATAAATAAATACATTATTAAAATATATAAGAAATACACGAAAAAGAAGATATAAAATACAAGAGAAAGATAGACCGCAATTTTGAAATAAATATTTTTATTAAAATTTATAAATACTTATTAAATAATAAATGTATAATTTCAAAGTTGCAGTTTGTCATTTTTTTTCTTAAGCACTCTAATAATTCTTTATCTAATTACATATAAATTGACATACAAATATTTTTTATGCATTACAATCATCTATTTTTATATGACTTTAATATTAATAAATTATTTATTAACTATATAGTATAAACAAATTTAATAAAACGTTAAAATTAACTAAGTGTAAAGTTTTTGCATTTAAAATTAACTAATTGTAAGTAAAAAATTATTCACTTTTTAATTGTTAAATTTAACTTTTAATTATTTAACTAGTTACTACTCAACCCCCTATTGAGCCCTATATACGTATAAATAATAAAAATAAAACTGATGCAAGTATAAAATATTCAGGAAATCTTGAAACTTTTTAAACAAAACTAAAAAACAAAATAATGATACAGTTTCATAACTGAAATATATTATTTGCATTTACACACAAATTTATTAATGCAAATGTTTTTTTTATTATTTTTCAATTTGTCATACGGTTTAAAATGCACAAATGAACCAAACTGACTTTGCAAGAGCTCGTGCCCTTTGAACCCAAACAAAAAATTATAACAAAAATACATCTTGTGTACATTACTTCAAATTGAAAATTCCACTCGGATCCAAAAGAACCATTTTACAAAAGATAGAGATTGTAAAGTCAATTTGGTTTATCAGTACAAGCTGAATTTTATGACAAGTTAAAAATAAAATAATTTTTGCACAGATAAATTGGACTGCAAAAAAATATTTCAATTATAAAATTGTTTCCGTATTGCGGCTTTCTTTGATTAGTTTTTTTTTATAAGGTTTTAAGTTTTTATACGTGCAATAGCACCACAGTTGTAGGAAATTAGGGAAAATAGTTTAAATAAGAGAGCAGAGAGGACTTATGGCAAGGAGTTCGTGGTGGAACAGGCATAGTGGTTCCTTGTTGTGGTGTAGGTCCCGGTTTCGAATCCGTCTGACCCCATATTTTTTTTCTGCTCTAGCAAATTAGAAGAATTTTACGTCTACACGGTTTTATTTTAATAATTTTTAAGCGATCTCTTCTATACAACTATATAATTATTTTCAAAATTATATTATATTAACTGTGCACCTCATATATTTTTAAATATTTTTGTAGATTAAGGACTTGGGTATTTTTGTACAAGCGGACGTCAAAAGTACTGTATTAAAACTAATGCAGGAAATAAGCAATGCATTAGCTTCGAATTATAGTTTCCACGGAGCCCACAAAAAAAAGCATTTGATAAACTGAAGCTTCTTGATGTCATATCAAGTAAGTCAAATCGTATCAAAATAAATATAACCAATTCATGCTGATGTTTAACTATGTAACCTTTTATTTGTATCTTATTTTTTATCTATTACGACATATTTAAAATAGCAATTATATAAATTATAAATTAAATTAATTTTAATTTGTATATAGGTGTTGTCCGCTGCCGTTTTACAAAGTCTCTTGTTACCAATAAACATATAAGCGATCCAATTAAATCATGGCTGCGTCATGCCCCTGCGCGCTTTTCACGAGAACAAAAGTAAATTTTATTTAACATATGTTTAGATATAGTTTACTATATTTTTCTTTTAATCTACTTAACATGATAAAGATTTATATTATTCTTTTATATATATATATATATATATATATATAAAATGACGTTTATTTAGCTTTTTTGCAGCAAATGCTTAATGAAATCAAGCATAGTAAATTACGAAGTTCTGTTTTGCATAAAATTTTATGTTTTATTGCTGTAGAGCAATCTATTTAATTCTGCGAAACAACGATTTCGTAATTTACTACGCTTGATTTTATAAAGTATTTGTTGTAAAAATGCTAAATAAAAAGACGTAATACTTTATATGTGTAAAAGCCGAATAATATGAAATATTACCATGTTAAGTAAGCTAGAAAAAAATTAGTTTTAGAGAAAATAATAATTTACATATACAAAACGTTTTTCAGGAAAATAACACATGTTGCGAATGATTTGGAAATCGTGGCCGAGGATGAAATCAATGAAGTCGATAATGAAAACCAAGTTAATACTGTGGCTAATAACGCAGCTGATAAAAATATTAATGAGAAAATAGTTGATGAAAATCTTCTAAATAGTGATGAAAAAAATCTAAGGTAGTTAGATTTTATGCAATTACTATCATTTTTATGGACCATCAGATCCATAAAAAAGATAGTATTACATTATATATATATATATATATATATATATATATATATAATATTAATATATATTCTATTACAAATTGTTTCCTTATTTTGTGGTCTCTTTTTTGATTAGTTTTTTTTATAAAGTTGAGTAGTTTTTTTTTATAAAGTTTCAAATTTTCATACGTGCAATAGCACAGCTTTATTTTAATAATTTTTAAGCAAAGGATGTCATGCCCATGTTTATAAGTTGCGTACATAAATTATGTTTATAAATTACGTAGAACTGATATGCAATATACGTAATGTGCAATAATATAATAAGTACTTATATATTTTTCAATAATATATTCATATTCTAACTAATTATCATTTTTATGGACCATCAAATCTATAAAAGAGATAGTATTACATTATAATAATATATGTTCTTATTACAAATTGTTTCCTTATTTTGTGGTCTCTTTTTTGATTAGTTTTTTTTATAAAGTTGAGTAGTTTTTTTTTATAAAGTTTTAAATTTTCATACGTGCAATAGCACAGCTTTATTTTAATAATTTTTAAGCGAAGGATGTCATGCCCATGTTTATAAATTATGTACATAAATTACGTTTATAAATTAAGTAGAACTGATATGCAATATACGTAATGTGCAATAATATAATAAGTACTTATATATTTTTCAATAATATATTCATATTCTAACTAATTATCATTTTTATGGACCATCAAATCTATAAAAGAGATAGTATTACATTATAATAATATATGTTCTTATTACAAATTGTTTCCTTATTTTGTGGTCTCTTTTTTGATTAGTTTTTTTTATAAAGTTGAGTAGTTTTTTTTTATAAAGTTTCAAATTTTAATACGTGCTTTCATAGCACAGCTTTATTTTAATAATTTTTAAGCAAAAAAGAATTTCATGCCCATGTTTATAAATTACGTACATTTACGTTTATAAATTACGTAGAACTGATATGTATGTACAATATACGTAATATACAATAATATAATATGTACTTATGTATTTTTCAATAATATATTCATATTCTAACTATAATTATCATACAATATTACTTTTTTAGGAAGCCCTTACCTGTCTATTTTTTAATTTTATTATTTTAACTGGAAATCTTATTTGTATGCAAACGCAACTTTCTTTGTGCACTATCTGTATATCTCCTTAATAGTACGCTGTTCATTTTGAATAGTAAGATATCCAATATTGAGCACACATACAGTGGAGACAACGTACAGTTGATGCACACGGAAAGTTAAAATCGTTTATATAGGTGATGTGAATACTTGTGACGATTTGCAGGTGAAGAGTGTATATGTTACCGGCCAAACCCTGATTTTAGGATAAACTAATTTTTCCTGTTTAGCCTAAGAAAAACTAATTTGTATATAAGAATGATATTTAGATAGGAGTGCACGGGGGGACGGGGCTTTGTAAAACGCCATCGCTCTGTGCATTCTCACATAAAAAAAAACAACTTAAAAGCGAGGAAACTATCAAGGTTAATAGTACTGCATAGAAGTTGAACTGGTTAATTTTAACGCATTTTGTATGGACTAGTTCAGCCTAGGAAAAATTAGTTTATTCTGAAATCGGGTTTCGTCGGTAACATACATGGAGAGTCTTCCGCGTTTCTTCGATAATGTGTCTATTGACGTTTTCATAGAATCTAGATTGTCCTATTAGTCTTGATACAATGTGGATGATGGATGTGCCTTCATACAGACCGCATAATGTCTTTTATTGAATTTGACAAGATTGTCCCATTGTGATAAAAAAGCGGACATTTACGTCCTATAGGCATTTCATGAGATAATCCTATTACGATCGCGGGATAACTTGTATGATGTCTCATAGACGTATTTTGGATGTACATTCTTCTCGATACCTATTATAGAAATCTTGGGACATCGTAAGGACCCTTTTAAGACGTCTGCAAGATTATCCCATTGCGGTAAATAAAGCGTACATTTACGGCCCTATGGGCGTCCCATAAGACAATCCTATTACGATCGCGGGATAACTTATATGATGTCCCATAGACGTATTTTGGATGTATATTTTAATATCCTCTCGATATCTTATGAAAATTTTGGGATATTGTGAGGATCCTTTTAAGACGTCTGCAAGATTATCCCATTGCGGTAAATAAAGCGTACATTTACGGCCCTATGGGCGTCCCATAAGACAATCCTATTACGATCGCGGAATAACTTATATGATGTTCCATAGACGTATTTTGGATGTATATTTTAATATCCTCTCGATATCTTATGAAAATTTTGGGATATCGTGAGGACCCTTTTAAGACGTCTGCAAGATTATCCCATTGCGGTAAATAAGGCGGACATTTACGGTCTCATAGGCGTCCCATGAGACAATCCCATTACGATTGCGGGATAACTTGTATGATGTCCCATAGACGTATTTTGGATGTATATTTGTTGTCTGGGTAATAGTCTTTGAAAAAATAATAATTTTTAACGCAAAAAATTATGTCTCGATTTTTGGTTGGTAAAGTCGATCTTATATTTATTAAGTAAGCTGTTAATGTGTGTAGGAAATATTCCATTATTCATACAGTTACGATAAAATTTGATTTAAAGTCTGTTAGTAATAATAATTTTCCGAATCTTAATCCATTGTTTTAATAACTTTACCGTTTCAAAACCAAACCAAATTTCAATATACATAAAAAATGAAAAATATGTCGAACGCATTATTTCAGTTTGCGTGTGATAAACAATATACTAATTAAATGCTCTTTAATTCAAATAAAGTATTACACATATAAAAGGCTAATAAGAGCAGAAGTAATATTACGGTTATAAAAACTAGTTTATTACATTTAATCAATATGTACTGATATAAACAATAAAGTTTAAATTAATCTAAAATTATAAAAATAAACTCGAAAGTTAAAACAAATGAGAAAGCGAACGTTTCGATCCAATTTTTTGGATCTTCTTCAGCGCAGTACAAAAAGTAAAATTAAAATCACCAAATTCTAAATGTCTTTATTTAATACAAAATTGTTAAAATTCACACCCCCGATTTACTTTAGATATGTTGACGACATTGTATTGACTGTTCCATTGACTTTAATTGACCACACACTTATGATTTTTAATTCTTATCATAATAGACTCCAATTCACTCTGGAAACTGACGATAATAATAAAATAAACTTTTTAGATTTGACAATAATTTTAGAAAACAACAAGATAATTACTGATTGGTATCACAAGCCGACATTCTCGGGGAGATATTTACATTTCTTGTCTCAGCATCCATTTTGTCAAAAGCGGGGAACTAAGGTCTGGCTATTAAATAACGAGACTGCTTATAAAAAAGAGTTTTATTTTAAAAATTATTCTACAATCGAATGCTCCCCTTCAATATACTCCCCTTCCCTCGCCACACACCGTTCCATTCGTTTTTTCCATTGGTCAAAGCAATGCTGGAAGTCTTCTTTTGTAAGAGCATTTAGGAGCTCCGCCGATTTTCGCTTCACCTCTTCCATCGACTCGAACCGGGTTCCTTTTCAGGCAGACTTGATCTTTGGAAACAGGAAAAAGTCACAGGGTGTTAAATCAGGCGAGTACGGCGCGTGTTCGAGCACTGGAGTGCCTCTAGCGGCTAAATAACGCTTCACAGATAGCGCGTTATGGGCAGGTGCGTTGTCCTGGTGCAAGATCCACGATTTGTTTTTCCACAACTCCGGCCGTTTCTTACGAACTCGCTCTCGCAGCGTTGCCAAAACTTTCAAATAGTAAGTTTGGTTTACAGTTTGACCCTCTGGAACTCATTCAGTCATCACGATGCCGTTGATGTCGAAAAAAACGATTAGCATGGCTTTAAATTTTGATTTCGACATCCTTGCTTTTTCAATCTTTTATACCATTCGAAAACACGCGCACGAGATAGAGAATTCTCACCATAGGCCTCTTTCAACAACTTATAGCACTCAGTCGAAGTTTTTTTTAATTTAACGAGAAATTTCACATTGATCCGTTGCTCGTGTTTTTCGTCACACATTGTTATCGGCACGAGAAAAAAACACGTTCGTTTCTAACCTCTACAGAAAAAATACTACTACAGCGACAAAAACGTGTTTTCGTACTGGAATAGTAGACACTTCCAGCTATCCAACGCTGCATTCGTTTCCCACCCTACCCCTCTAGGACGCCTTTTGCGCGCGCAATCTCGTTATTTAATAGCCAGACTCTATATACGGTCTAGTGGATAGAACAATTTTATTGTCACATCCACGATTTCATTATAAGAATCTCGTTACCGTTGTCAACATACTTTTAGAAAATTGTTATCCGCTTGACTTGATCTTTAATACTATTAACCAACGTCTAGTAATTTTATTTAAAAAATTAAAAAATACCACAATTAACGGTAACAACAATAATAATAATAATAATAGTGAAAAAACGTCTTTTTTCACTATACCGTTTTTACCCGGTTTGACGGAACAATTTAGAAATATTATTAGGAACATAAATTTTAAATTATTTTTTTTTAATTTTAATAAATTAAATAAATATATACGAGTACATAACGAAGTAACGCGGAACACCTTGGATAAAATAACGGACGTTAGAATAGATCCTGCTTCTTTCAATCATACATGTCAAGATTTAAAACAGTTGAAAGATAAATGGTTTATCAACAAATCTTCAATTAATATTCCGGACGATATCCTAAGTTTTTTACAGTTGGGGAGTAATTTTAGTTTACTTTTTGACAACAGAACTAATTTAACGATTGAGTTTGTTAAGAACATTGAAAATAATATTAGAAAATTACCGGTTAGAGAACGTACAATTATAAGAAATCGAACAAGTAATGTGATAAAATCTATTTTGACTTATTCTTATCCTACGAATGAAGCAAATAATACGCTTTCACATTTAAATCACATTACTAAAAATTTCTT